GCCACCCACTTAAAATTTATATAATTTTGAACTCCTTTCTTACTATCTCAGCTCTGACAGTGCTTTTACTTTTAGGCTGTCTTTCCAAAATCCCTCCACTACCTGAAGGGACCCTATGGGAAAGATGGGGCAAGACTATTACAAGGGCATGTAGAGACAGGACAAGGGGGAATGGGTTTAAATTAAAAGAGGATAGGTTTAGATTATTACAATACTAGGAAAAAATTCTTTGCTCTGAGAGTGTTGAGGCACCGGAATAGGTTTCCCAGGGAAGTTGCAGATGCCCCATCCCTGGTGGTGTTCAAGGCCAGGTTGGATGGGGCTCTGAGCAACCTGGTCTAGTGGAAGGTGTCCCTGCCCATTGCAGGAGGGTGGAATGAGATGATTTTCAGGGTCCCCTTCCAACCCAAACCATTCTACCATTCTCTGATTTCAGTAACTGTCTTCCTACCTCGTTTGCATCTGATTGTCCACATCCTGATTCCTTCAAGAAACATCACTCAGGAAGAATTTAAAATAAACGTCTACGTTTTACTTTTTTAGCAACATGCCCAGAACATGGGCCAGGCAATGGCTGCATGCTTCTGAAGACACTAATTCTTCAAGCCTATCCCAAAGAGCCAGTTTACCCTGGACACAAATATTCTGAACACTTACCTCCATTCATCCATCCACCCACTCCTGTGATTCCTACCCCCTATCAGATAAACCATAATTTCTCCCCTTTGCTCTCCAGTGTACTCTCCTTGAGAGCCTAGGGGGTTGCACAGACTTTCAGAGAGCTTTCCTTCAAATGACAGCACAAAACCAAACCACACAGCATAAAACTTTGAAACACCACAAAACTCGCTGAAAATTATTTAGTACTCTTTCAGCTTTGGAGTTCCCAAAATTCCTAATATCACACTGAAAGTTTAAGGTTCTGACACTTTATTTACATCACCCAAGGAAAGCACTACTTACTGGAGGTCCTGGCGTGTTGGAATACATCCCCACTGAAATTCCCTGTGATTAAAATTTCCATGGACAAGGTGTAACCTACCTGTCCCTCAACAGGAACAGGTGGCTTGGTCACTGCCTTCAGGCTGCTTATTAGGAATGCCAGCTTTGATCAAGGACCAGCAAATAATGCTGGAAAGGGTCAGCATGAATTTCTCACTGCTCCCCCAAACCCATTCCTCTTTGTTCACAGATGCTTCAAAATGCAACTTTAAATGAGCTCCCACCAAGCACTGTTTTATGTGTCTCAAGAGCTAATTAACAAAGGGAAGCTCGTTTCATGTTGAAAGCACTGTGAGACAGGGGCACACTGTGGATGTTTGCATCAGTACCAGCCATCTAGACTCCTTCCTACAATCAGTGGTGAGAAACAGGCACCATTGTGGCATGTGCCATTTCATAGTTTTCAAAAGACTAATTTCACCTTTCATGAACTGCCTCTTAGAAACACCCATTTCTCTTTACCTGCCACAAAGGAGGCTTGGGCGACTTTCAGTTGCAGCCAGATACACTGATATCATCAACAGTGCAATGCAATTAGACTCATTCTCTAAACTGAAGTAGAGGCAACAACATTTACATAGAATACTCTTGTTCTGAAAGGACAAAACAGGCCTTACCACGTTACAGATAAGAGAAAGGAACTTTTAGTACAAATCATCTAGATTTCAAGCTGACTAGTCCTGAGACAAGAATGCAACAGACAACCAAGTTTGAAGAAACAGTTAAGAGTAAGTCCAAAGTTCAGGAAAAGAATTGAGTCTTCAACCTGCACACCACATGGGAATTTGATGCATGCAGATTGATAACGGGATCTTTTAGCACACTACTAAAAAGTAGAAATAAAACTAGGAATTATGCAAGGGTTTTCATCACAATAGCTAATGATCAGCAATCTGATCCTAAAAACTTAGCTTAAACATCTTCCACGGTACATAAGCCACAATACTGTTCATATGGCTTATATGGAGTATGGTTTGGCATGAGGGAGCAATTCCAATAGTTCTTTATTGATCTACTTCCACAGCTTGTGCTGCTAGAAATTCTCCCCACAGACGAGGCCAAGGATCACTGCACTTGATCTTGTCAAGTTATTCAGTTTTAGGCTAAAATGAAGGGGGGAGGATGTGCAAAAAGGCACTGGTTGCTGTGCAAACATTTCAGGGCATTTTCTGTAACATTCGAAAAAGAATGGAAGAAACAAAGAGCCACTGTTCTGAAAATGGGTACTTATACACCAGCCCAGAAAACAAAAAGCAGGAGACTATGGAGCACTAAGTGAGCAGCTAAGCAAATCAAACAATCAATCAAAACAAGGACACGTGAATCTCAGAGTGGACTTGTCATTCTCTGTAGTTCTGAAAAGAGCAAAGAGTATATTTAAAAACATGAAGCAAATCGGAATTAAAATTGGGTTGGAATTCCACTATATCATTTTTGACAGCAGCATCAATTTAACATCATAGATAAACAGGGTAGTTTCGTAGAAATCATACTAAAAGAATCTTAATGGTGCACCTTAGAGAAGCAGCAAAGGCAGAACACGCATTGCTAACCAGAATCACTCCCTGAAAAGAAATAATGAACCGCTGCAGACAGAACCAGAGGTAATTACAGACACCACCACCCCAAGAGCAATAAAGTCGGGACAGTTTTCCACAGCACCACGAACCCGTTGAGTCAGTGTTACCTATCTACATGTCGGCTAACAGTTTGCTTAAAGGCAGCAACAGCCGCCCCCTGGTCCAGCAGAGGCCCTCTTTTGTAAACTGTGTTACTGAATGCATACCCATCCGACGGAGGGTAGTCGGGAACACCGGGAGGCTGGAAGACAAAAAAGAAACAAAGCCACAAAGCGGATTAGTGTCATCAGCGGCGCTGCCCACTCACTTAATCCTGCACCCCCGGGGTCCCTGTCAGCATTCCTGCATCCTCAGGTGCCCGTGGTTCTGCTATGAAAAGTTAATAACTTCTGCGTTTCAAATACATAAGCACAGAGATCAAAAGGATAAGAAGAAAAGAATTTCTATCCTGTGTCATCCCACTGCATTAATATTGCAGTGGATGTTCTTTAGAAAAACAGTTCTGCAGGGCAAGGTCCATGTCATCTCTCGGATGTCATTACAGCAACACAACTTACAGACAATGGCTGAACAGCTTTAAAATAAACTGCACTGCAAAACTGCTTTGAGTTTTTGTTCTGGGTGTACACTTGAAGCCAGAAACCTCTGGTTAGCCAACAGTATGTCTAAGAGATAAAGCTTCACAAGTAAAATTATCACTCTATTACAAGATCATAATATAAAGCTCGTTTATGTCCCTCTCTCACTGAACACGACTATAGTCAATGCAGAAATGCAAAAGGGAGTGTGCTGTTGGTGTAATTAAGGAATTTAGTTAAGAAAAAACATTACAATTTATCACAAGGACATATATAAGAAGATTCAAGGCTTTAGGAAATTCTTTTTAAAGGACCCCACTTTAAATCCAGCAGTGATGCTCGGCTGCTAAGTAAGAAATATTTTAATCACCATTCCCCCAAACAAAAAGAAGCTAAACAGTTAATTTCTGGATATTATAATATTGAAATTGCTCGTTCTGTATCTTTTCCTTATACCACCATCCAGTTGCCCAAGTTAGAATGGTTGAGACTCAAGAGCAATTGCCAAATCTCTGAGCCTCATTTGTTGGTGGGTTTTTATGTTTTGTTTTCTTGTGGGTTGTTATTTGGTTTTGGTTTTTTCATCTCTGTCTGGGTGGCTACAGAAAAATCTACCTCCAGGTATCTGACCTGGCACTCAGAGACACTTGTGCAGGGTTTAGGAAAAGAAATTAAAACCAAACCAACTCGTCACACCACAGAATATTCTTTAAAACTGTATTATTAAGACCTCTTTGAAAAAAAATCCAAGGTGTCATCTAGCTTATAGCTTACATCACAAGACATCCAGGAAGCAGGAGCTCATTTTACTTCACACACAAATTATTTGCATGGCCTTAGCCTCACTGGACTCTCTGGTGGTTGTTCCACCACCATTTGAAGTCCTCACTGCTGAACTGACTCCACTTTGAAATCCCTCCAGTGGGAGCTGCATGTGTGGCTAGATCTTAAGATTCAGGAATGGAAAGGCAAAGATAGATTCTCCTGAGTGGGAACCCTCAATGTGCTTTTCCAGGTGCCAGAGCAGCCCCTGCCCATCAGGGGGGATGGCACCACGCACCCCCTTTTCCACCCCCAGCACAGCACAGCTCTCCACAGGCAGCTGTGGTCCTCAGGAGATCAATGCCACACTGAGACACGAGGCCAATTGGTGGCACGAGTCAAACACTTAAATTCTCATCTTACTTTTCCATCATTACTCTTCATCAAACAAGCTGTTACTGCAGACTTAAGGAAGAATAATTATTCTGGTATCACCCACTCCAGGGTGGTCTTTTTGCTGCAGACAAATGGAATTTTGCACTTATGCAGCTTTTTCCAGCTGAGTACCTACAGCATTTCACAGCTATTAAGCAGCTCTGTGTGCTCTTTCCCCTAGGGATGTGCTGAGGAGACATGGGCACAGGGAGCCAAGGTACCAAGGTTAAATCAATTGACCAAGACCTTGCAGGAAGCAGTGACAGCCATGAAACCAAAGCTTGACATCCCAGGAGAGCCAGGCACACAAATAGCTTCAATGAACTGGGAAATATATATATATAGACATATATATATGTGTGCGTGTGTGTGGGTCTCTTGAAGGTTAAGAGACTAACTTGGCATAAACAACTACCAATGCAACCAACCCCACCACCATGAAAAAGAGTGACATCTACTCCCTGAAACCCAAGCAACTAAAATACCTCAATATATTCTCCCTGTTCGAATTTGGCTTAGGTTATTATATGTATCAATGAAATTCTTAGAATCACCAGAATTCTTTTTTCAGTACTATTGAAAAAGTTTCAATACTGCTGTTATTATTATTGTTGTTGTTGTTATTTAGAAGGAGCACAATATAAACAAAAATCTGCATGGAAACGTAGAGTAGCAGGGAACAATAAAAAAATGTTCCATGAGATTTTCTGGAGAGGTGACTGGGGAAGGGGGTAACAGCAATGGCAACACTACATTTCACATTGTTGTACCCATTAATTTTACTAAATGCTTTTTTTGCTCAAAATGAAGCACCGGCAGTAACTCAGTTTTTGGCACATTTCTTCTTGTATATCTTGTTAGGCATAAAGCCATAAAGTGTTTAAAGTAATCAGATCTGTACCATGTTATCCTCTTTTGCTTGGCAGACTTTTAACCAAATTTGTTTGTCTCTATAGCTTAGCAGACCTTTTTTTTGACTGAGATTTTCATGAAAATAAAGTTTTACTGTGACTAGGCAGTTTTGATAAACTTTTGCTGGGCTCTGCAAGAAAACACCATCCTATAACAGCCAATAATCATTCCCCTCAATATTCTTCTAAATGCAACATTTTTACTAGCAGATAAAACCATATATAGTTAAAAATTAAGATAAAATCCAGCATTGTTGTGCTAAGATGTACTCCAAGTATGCTGGAGGAAGATAGACAAAAACTATAGGGTGAATCTAGAAAATTCTTAGGTGCACTTCAATGTCACAGCTGCTACCAGGGGACCTTGGATTAGCTAACCCTTGATTTAAACTGAGATCAGCATAGAAAAATAAATAGAAAATTTAAACTAAATCTTATGTTTTCCTAAAAAAAAAAAAATCTCCCAAAATGAAAATTTTTATAAGTTTATAAAGGTAATGGCCTTTTTTTTAATTAAAAAGCAAGAAAATCCACATATAGTCTTAAAATTTTCACAAAAATCAAAGTTCATTTTCTGATCAGCTCTACTGGGAAAAGTAGGGATAGAATCTTGGTTGAGAAACAAAGGGGTTGGCTATAAAGTTGGTCAGTAAAAGCTCTCTAGTTTCTCTGAAGGCTTTAGATGGTGGTGCATTCTTCCACTCTCTAAGTAGAACAAGCTAACTTTTGCTAAATTCACCACATTCCTTTGAAAAAAAAAAAAAGGTTGGGAAAAAGTTTTGTACAATAATTGTCCTAGTCAGCAGTTATTTTTCAGAAGTAGGTCTAAATTACAGTAGGGCAGGTATTGCTTGTATGTATTGCCTCAATAGCACCTCTGAATGCTTTCACTGTATTGCAAGCAAGTATTAAGAGATTAATGAAAGGAATATTCTATTCCACATTTATGAAGAAGCAGCTTAAGTCCAAAAGAAAGGGGGGTTTATTTCCTTTAGTCTGCATGCCTGTGCATGTGGAGCACATTTGAGAGCACTTTGGTTCAAATACTGCCTGAAGTAAATATGATCAAAATCAATGGGATCTGATAGAAGAGGTCCCAAATCAAATTGAACCTTAGGGGCTTGGACTGTCCTCCCAAGTTCAAGGAGAGCAGCAGGCAAAAGCCTTAAATTTTTCCTAACAGCATTTTTGGTGGCTGAACAGGAATAGGGTTTCACACAACTTTAATGTAAGTGTAAAGAGCTGGCACTGATGCAGCAGATGCCAGAGAACAGTTACTCCAACAGTATCACAGAATACTTTCATTATGAAGGAAGCAGTTGATGTTGCTGTCAGCTAATCTACAGAGCACTGCCCCAAGTGACCTACCTCAGTGGACATCCTTTTCATCTCTTGTTTTCGCTGCTGCTCTGCAACGTTTGCCACAGACTCAGCCAAATGATTGAGTTCTTGCTCCTTTGGAGCTCCCATGAAGTTCAGCAAAGGAGGCTCCCAACCATTTCGGAAACGGGGGACATAAGGTGGAATAAAATGGTCTTTGGGCCAATCGGCTCTGCATGAAAAGTAAATCAGAGATCTGTATCAAGGGCCATACAAATACTGATTAAAGAAGTTACTGAAAATTGAAATGCTTTAGAATTTTTATTAGCTCAGCAGAGAGGCTGGGATTACAGCAGAGGCAGAATTGTGCTAGAACACAGAAAATCAGCAGGAAACATTTATTTACCACAACTGCCCTCCCTGCAGCGCCCTGCAGAAAGAAATTGCTCCTGCCATTAAGGACATGTCAATGCTAAAATACAACAAACTTCTGTCTTGTAACAAAGGATGGGGATCAGAAGAATCAATCAAAACAAATCTAGGATTTGTTTTAACAGTGAGATGGGGAAAAATATTGCTATGCTCTGTTTGTGTGAAAGCACCAGATGAAAGACTTCAAAGAAACAACTGGCTTTGTAAGAACTCCTGAAAGCAGGTATGAAGCATGGAAGCTTTAGGGGGCCTAGCTACACCTAAACCAAAAAGTTAGATAGCTGTTACTGACAAAAAAACCCACCCAACTCTACATGCTCCAAGACACATGAACTATCACCACAGTCCAGCTTGATCTTTATAAAATATTGCACTACTTTTCGGAGTCCCATTAGCATTCTGTGTTGTAATACAAAACACCTAAATGAATGCTTTCATGCTCTGCCTTTGCACTACACATAACACTCCATCCTGCAACATACATTAATTTGTCTTCACGGTGGAAGTAGGGATGGGAATGTACATTACAGTCTTTTAACAGGCTCATTGCTGACAGTGCTCAAAATTAAGGGACAAATGCTTCCAGTCACATGAGCAGTCAGCAATTCCTGGCCTGTTAGCAGACCTGAGCTAGGTCAGTAACCCTCAAGTGGTATCATTCACCTCTCCTACTACACTCCAACCCAGTGTACTTCTGGATACTGAGATCAATCAGAGCATCAATTCTAATCTGCACAGGTCAACCAACTACATTCTAAGTGCTTCATTCTTCACTACCCAACACGAGCTATTTCTCTTTCCATTAACCTTTTTTCAGGATGGACTTAAATGAATGGATGAGGGTAGTTCCCAAGACAAGGAGCTCATTATTTTACCCAGGGATTCATTTTCCCTGCACGGGGCTCCAATGCCATGAGGCAATTTCCACTGCCAGTCCCCCCCCAGCCTGCTATGGAGCCTGCAGAGCTTGAGGCAGGCAAAGGCAAGCATTTTGCTGGGATAAGCTCTTTGGCAACCACAAGGAGCTGCTCTTCCTGTCTCCAGCTCATTTTGTAGTAGCAGGTAAAACAATAGGCCCAAAGGACAAATTTGGACATTCCTGATCCTGCAGCAGAGTGAGACCAAGGGAAAGACCTGTGTGTCCCTCTCCCTGCTCTGATAATTTTTCTCACTCCATGCTGTGGGGCTCTCCATGCAGTTTTTCTCACCAGCAAAACACTCTGCAGTTTTTAATCAACCAGTTAATTAATTAAAAAAAAAAAAATCCATCTGGTAGACGTTTATGTTCCAATTTGAAATCTAAGAGCAAGGATGAATAAACACAAAACACATGATGCATTTCCAGCCCAAGTGATAGCATACTTCATCATCATCAAATGTACTTATCTATCACAGATTACAGAGTCAAAATGTACTTTGAAAATTTAAGATTTTTCTTCTGCATGTTCAGTTCACCTAATTTCAAACTATATACTTACCTCAAAAACAGCACATGCATACAGAAGTTAACTTTCAGCTAAGCCTCATATTAGTACATCCATTAAATGCAACATACACCCATGTAGCACAGTTCAGTCAATAAATAATGTTTTAAAACTATAAATATGTTTATAGCATTAAGATGCTTTTAAAAAGAAGTAAAGATATTGCAAATTTTTAACTTTTAATAATTATTGGAAATTGAAAATAGACATCTGTATCCTATTCTTTAATATTTTGTCATCTTTTTATTGCAGCTTCTTCAAACTGGTTTTTAATGAAGTCCAGATGGATGCATTGGAAAAATAATGGTGAAAAACAACGGGACACATGCAAGGGACACTTTAGAAAAAAAATGACTGCAAAAGGTTATGTCAAGAGATTCTGGATCACAGACAAAAAAAAAAATCCTGTCTGCATTATCTCTCTCCCTGAGATCCCAAATCCCAGTGAAGCTAAACTTTAGAAAGTTCCTTTCTAAAAAACTTTAAAGAGCAGTTCTGAAGAGTCCAAAGCCTAACAAAGTAATACTGAATTTACTGGGGAGTGTTAATAACCTGGTTAAGAGCATGTCAGTAAACTCGATTTTAGAGATTTTCTCTAAAAGGTGCAAACACTTTTCCTCACCTGGCTTTGGTCCAGGTGTCACCCAAGGACATCCACAACTGTCCCTCCTCACCGGTGACAGTGTATCGAAGGAAGTCTATGGTATCTTTTGTTAAGAGGGGGCTGAGTACTGTACCAGCAAGCTCTGGACCTCCTGTTGTCTGTACCACCTAAATCCAAGGATTAAAAGAATGCAAACAACATACATACTGTGAGTACAGAAGTTACTGTGAATACATGGTGCCTACAGTGCTGCCAATGTGTCTGAATGTCCTGCAGATTAACTAAACTATTTATTGCTGAAGAGCTGCTGTTCTGGTCACCAACCATTTTTTATTTAGACCCACTTTTGGCAACGTTATTTTTGCTTTACTGATCAAAGCCACACACAATTCAATTAAACAGACACGCTTTCAACTCTCCTCCTTCCTCATGCAGAATATCTCCATTTTTTTATTGTTAATTAAAAATTATAATGGCAAAGTGTAACACAAAGCCGAAGATATTTAAATAAATATATTTAATAGATGGGCATATATGCAGATATAAATTATTTCCTAAAGAAAACCTCATACAGAGATATGCTCCTTGAAAAGGTTACAGGGCATATAAATACACGAGTTTTGAAGGAAAACACTGAGAAAATTGTAAAAGCTTACCATTTGTAGTGGGGTAAAGAGAAAATGAACCAGATCAGCTGCACTGGGATTCTGGATATGGAACTTCAACTTAGCCTGAAGGAATGGAACAAATTATATATTTTAAGAAACATTTAACTGTTATGACAATAAATAGTTTACATAATAATGGCCATCCCTGGTCAGGTCGCAGGTCCTAAACCAAGTGTTTTGTCTGAAGTGTAAGTGCTCATTCATCCAATTGTTTTTGAATCCACCTATATTGTAGCACCTATTGTGCAAAACAAGAAGTTAAAGGGCCGAATTACATGCTTTGTGAGGCAGCATCTCCTTTGGAAATTTGACACCTCTTACTCTCATTAGTATTCTGTAAGTTCTTTTCCAAATAAAAACTGAGCTGCCCTTCTGCCCTCGCGTTTTCCAGCGATGCTCGTAACCATTTACAGATTTATTATGTTCTTCCTCAGTTTGGACTTTTCCAAGCTAAACTAATTCCTTTGAGCATTCCTGTCCTCCCTGCATCTTCTTCAATTTTGCTATACTGGCAACAAAATAAGGCCAGGGAACATATTGGCATAGTGATGCTCTTTATTTGTTAATTTTCTGTTGTCTTTTTTCCCTTGATGTTTTTCAACATTTTCTTGGTTGATTCCATTAAATACAGATGACTTTCTGCCAGGAATCTCTATTACATCAACATTTTGCTCTGATTTGTTCTATATATGAGATTTTTCCTCACCTGTCCATGACTATCATATAATCAGTACTGAATTTCATCTATCCCTTCATCTGATATTATGAGATATTTCTACATTTGTAGACTTTGCTCCCCATTTGCCAGAACACCTGTGGGACAGCCATGGCCTCTGCAGAGGCATGTCTGGAACTTCACTGTTAATTTACTACACTTCAAGAACTGATATTTTTGCCCTATATTTTGTTTTCTATTTCACTAAGCAAGTATCTAAGAAGCTACAGGTATCTAAGAAGCTACATTCAACCTCACAGAACCTTCTTTAGGAACTGTGCAACCTTGCTGGATATGTTTTGGAAAACCAAAGAAACAAGATCAAAGAAGAGGTGGATCTGAAGACAATATTTTGGTTTTTTGCAAGATGCATGTTTGCTGCTTCCTCATGTTAACACACATTCCTACAAACTGCACCCCGTGTGCAGGTATCTCAGAGATATCTGGTTGCCTCAGATCTTTGGAATGACTTTAAAGATTATCAGCATTACCTTCACAACTACTATTTCTCTGGTAGAAAGGCAGTTTGAAGGAGGTGAGATAACACACTGTGTGGTTTGCTGACTTAGTTTTTTAATAGATGGATGAATGGTGCCCATTCAAATAGGGTTTCTATCCATCTGCCTTTAATTTGCTATTTAGATTTACTGTCCTTTAAGCCATTACCAGTTCTTCAATTTGAAACTGATAATCTCTTGTGCCCCACCAATAAAAAATGGTTTTCAAAAAAACATAATATCAAAGCTTTTGCAAGTAAACATGCACATAAAAAACAATAATGATATTATATATAAAAAATTCAGAAGAAATACTAAAAGTCACTGATATAGCTTCCTGGAGGATTTCTTTTATTTACATATCACCCACTGGCCTTGTAGGCTCCAGAGATAAGAAGCATGCCTGTATGTGCTTTAAAAAGTTATAGTAGCTTTTATTGCATCTTGCCATCTGTTCCTCAAACTGCTTTTGGCTAGCCTTGTCCTGCTTTTACATCTAGCCTTCCAGCATGTCCCTCCAAATGAAGGAAGGAGGAGGATGTGTTTTTACTTCCAATAACTTCCTATACACTGTTCTTCAGTCATTACAACTTACTCCCAGCATAGTTTTTTGACAGATGGTAGGCATTTTCTAGAAACTTCCAGCATGGGGTTTTAAAACAGTTTCCATTCTACTGGCAAAGATTAAATTCTTCTAGCTACTCCTTTTATTCTTAAACAAAATTCTGCATTTTATACAGTTCTCCATGTCTGTCATGAAGTGCCAGGAACTGAAACATTTGTGGAAGTGAGGCTTTTGTGGCTCCTGCAATGATGCTGAAGTAAAGCACTGTTACAGCACAACTCTTCAAGGGCAAGATTAGAAACCAGGTCCTAGATGCTGCTGAGCACCAAAACAAGAGCTGCTTTCCTCCTGCACAGAAGATAAAGATTTCAAGGATGCACAGACTGTTCTTGGGTAAAAAATGAATCTAAATGCAGAAGGCAGAAGAATGGGAAAAAATGGACACTACAAGCACTAGTGATGAGGACAAGCATGTTCCAAGACATCATCCCCCTTCTAAACAGCAACCCTTTAAGGTCAGAATCACAGAACTTGATAAAGGGGTGTTTTTTTTAAAAATAGACATTCTTAACATTTCTAAATATCTCTTAGAGCCTAGCAATCAGAATTCATTCCCTAGGAGGAAGAAAAAAAGCTGGTTTGGCTCAGTGAATACAAGCCCAGTTTTCCCCACTGGCACAGCCTCCCCAGCAATTGGAAGGAACAGTCAGTATCTGACAGTAAATGCTTTGAAGGTGTCCCACTTGCTGCCTCCCTTGAATAGGAGATTCCCACTTGAGAGGAGATGCCAGGGAAGGCTGTTGAATTAGCATCTCTGCTTACTGAGAACCTACAAAGCAGCAGCAATTTGTTGGATGGAACGTTCTGAGCCCAGAAGGCCCTGTGGTAATGATGGCAACAAGCACAGAGAGTCTGATGGGCACAGCTGAATAAAAGCAAATTAAGGCCACAGCTGGTGATGCTGGCAAACACACAACAGAGCTGTGATCCCAACAGATGTTCCTAGAAATTCTTTTATGATTCAAACTCAAATTTCCTAAGTAAAAGGCTTTAAAAGAACCAGGAAAAGAAGAAACCCAACAGTGCTGAAAAAGAAACATGCTCATCTAGTGTGGGGAACTTGATGAGCAGCACCCCAAAGCTCAAAGGCTAACCCAGGCCACAGGTGGCCAGCCCTGGTCTTGCCTCAGATCAGCCTTGGATGGAGAGGGAAAAGGTGAAAGTCCAAGACCAGTCAAGTCTCAGCTGAGCTATCTCCCTGTGTGCCAGCCAAGGACCAAACAAGATTACATTTCCAGGTATATCAGCATTCCTTGTGGGGTTGCTCCTCCTGAAAGAGCAGTGGAGGCCAAGACAGTGCAGACTCAGGCTCACAATTCCCTGGATGGTGTGACCACCTCTGCACAGCTCTACATGGTGAGCCTCTACATGTGACCTCTACATGGTCAAGACAACAGGAAGGTTAGGCAGAAAACTTTATTAATGCACTCCCAAAGACAAAATAACCTTCTGCAGCTCCCTCAGGTGCATCAACCACAAGCATTCAGACCCTCTGGAATAGTAGAAACCTCCGAGAAAACTTAAAAATAACTGCAAAGCAAATTCATCATGTTACTGATTCTTCCTTTTCCTCTTCATCTTTCACCACAATTTGAGTTTTTCCCTCCAAACTAGTGGAATAAGCCATAAGAAAATGTAGCAAAACTGACACCCAAATTAATCTGTAGTGGCAGGGAAAACAAAGATCAGGTTATACTTAGCTGTCCCAGGAAAAACCTTATTGCATGTCACACACCAACATATCCATGGGCAGTCACCTACCAGAAGATTGAAGCCATGCTTGAATTTTTGGAAGCAATCAACAAATTCATCTGGAGGTGGTGGTTTTGCACGGAGAGTGAGAACTCCCTCTGGTGAACAAAATGAGATTTTTATATATCCATTTATATGAATATAACTTCTATCAACATTTCAGATACAGTAAACACATACATACACAATAAATTTACCAACTTAGAGAATTTTCTAAATACAGAAGCAGAGCAGGGAGCATATTCTGTGGTCACATCTCTATTTAGTCACTTCCCACTGCCTTCAAGCAAGTGGTTTTTATATGTTTCCCTCTAAGAATATACTCCACAGGAATTTACATGCTCAAAGTGAAAAAAAATTACCACACTGATAAAAAAGCAACACAAAGACACATTTGCTGGCTACTTGAGTGATCCTTAGAGAAACTTAATTGCCTGCAATGAGAACTCCTACCTCCAGGTCCTTTCTTTTTACTTTTCTTAGTTTTCTTCCTCTTTGAAAGTTCAGCAAATGCTTCAGCAGCTTTTTGAAGCTTGGTAACAAAATACTCTATGTCATCCAAAATATGGTTCAGAATTTGCTGTGGAAGAAAAGCAACAGTTTCTCTACAGAATATACAGCAGAAGTACTCCAGAAATTGAAACATCCAGACCTCACACACACCAACAGCTTCCTTGGAACAAATTTCATGCTAGAACATTCCATATTTAGATTCATTGTGTTCTTAACTTTACATACCTGTAAAACATTTAGAATCTTACTTTTTTTAAAACCTAAGGTCACTGGACATTTTTAAAATATGATCAACAAAATTATTAAGTTCAGAATGCAATTACACAATTTGTTCACACATTACATTCTCTCTCACAGCACATGAAAAAAAATCCTAATTATTTGAATGGACAGCATTTTCCTAAAGGGTATAACTGCATAATGTCCTTTAGTACTAAGTGTTAAGCTATTTGGTGAAGTTCCCTACAAATTAAGCTATTTGTAGAGAAGTACTCTTTGAAGAACTGATTTCAAAGAGCAAGTGGACTAGAATGAGACTCTGGGGAAAACACACTGGCAACAATTCAGCAGGTCCCAACATGCTTTTCTCAAGACCCTCTGAATGTTGCTGAGAGTGGAAAAGTAGAAAGTTACAACTGACAAATGGGACAATATTTGATCTCACACACCCCCAGTGTTGTTGCTTATAGGCAAGAAAATTTTAGGTTAGAAATAAACGTGGTCCACCTGTCTCCAGAAATGATCATGTTTATTTTCCAGATATTACACATATCCAAGTCCCACTAAACTGATGGAATTTTTTACTCCTTATATAGTTTGCTAAAACTGGTCTACTGTAAAAAAATCACAATTTGTATTTCCAGCTCTTTACAGCAGAAAACTTTATACCACATTCAATGTGTTGTCATTCCCCCACACTTTTTTTTCTGTTTAAAGAACAAAATTAAGGAAAAGGAACTACCACCTGTTCATTTTTAGATCTACCACACAAGCAGAGGCTGCCTGGAAAGCTTTTCTCCAGAATTGAATTTACTATGTGGAAAAAGTCTTCTCACAAAGTAGAGCTGCAAAATTTAACAAACATTAAGCAACATCATTTGTAGTTTCCCACTTACAACATCTCTGTCAATCCTGGCTGCCATCATCTCTGCTGTTTCTTCCTGCTCATGGTACTGTCTGTGTTTTTCAACTGCAAGAGAGGGAAGAAGAGAATAAAACATCCATATATGTGGAATTAGTATATTTATACATAACATTTTCTATATAGCTTGTGCTTTAAACCATAGAACTATGAGAAAAGATGGACAAAACTGTTTGTATCATTAACTTTGCAAGGACTCCACATAACTGAAAGTCCTGTACCCTAATGCCTGATCCTGATAAGTCTCACAAAGAAGCTAAGTCTGTGCTTTCAGTCAATTTAACTGCATAAATGAAGGAAATCACAGAAGCTAAAAATCAAAAAAAATCAGCACAAAGTGGTAGGTTATAAATACAACATAATTAGGAATCACTCTATTTTGCAAAATTTGCTGAAAGCTTCTCCAGCAGAAGTAAGCAAGAAAGAGTGCAGCCATGACTTTGGAGACAATTTTGATCTAAAAGGCAATTAGCAAAAAGGAGTGTCAGTTCTGGCAACATTGAAATGGAAGGTTATGATGTGATAGAACCAGTACTCACAAATAACAATGGACAGAGTCAGTGACTTTTGTTTAAAAATAACAAGGGTGAATGTTTTGAGAAATTGTAAGTTTTGCATTTTTAAGTTACAGTAAGTGCTGCACTGTGTTTGTGAACAGGTGGGATTTCAGTAAATGCATTTTAGAAAAGATCTGCATGAGTAGAATAAAAGGAAGTGCAGGAACTCAGATCCACAACTGGTCTGGCATGACACTTAACAAACTAATGAAACCTTTCTGAGGTGAGAAGTCAAGCAGAAGAACAGGTTAGCCATTACCCAAGATAGATGTAATACTGTAGATACATAGATTAAATAATTCTTAACACTTCAGTTTGCTCTGAACATTTTCAGTTGTTTTCTTTGCATAGTTGTGAACTTTGTTAAGTGATACAGATATAATTTAATAAACCAAAAATAATAAAGACTTCAAGATCTTCTAATTCTACAGTAGTAGAATTAGTGTCTATTATTAAAAGAACACAAACAAACCATATGTGACCTCACCTTAACCTTAGCAGTCGGTTTTAGAGAAGAAACTTTACTCTTTCTGAAGAACTTTTTCAAAGAAATCTGATCAAAATATGTTTCCCTTAGAGATATAAAAAACCCACCAACAACCACCAAACAAAACCAATCCAAACCGATTAGGAACGCTACAGCGTTTCTTGGGTAAGGCTTTAAAAAATAACTTTAAAAAAAATAAAAAGAACCAGTTTAGCCACACAGGCTAAATGATATGGTGCAAAGATATATGTGCCATAAATAAATAATGCTCAAGTCACCTTTTAATCCCTGATTATAGTCTTTAATTGTCCAAAATATGTGGCCTACACTCTCCTTATTACTGAAGAGAGCATCATTAGATGTTATGAAAGTTAACATCTAATTATTGCATAAGCTGCTTTTTCCCTCTGCATATATAATTTTTGGTTGTCTCAAGTATTTTGCTTATACTATAAAAAACCAAAATCTACTATATATAGAAACAACAAAACTACTATAGGTAGTAGCAGCATAATTAGAAAAGTAACTCATTATACCATTCCCTTTCAGAAATAACAATAGGTTCCAAAAGTACTGTTTTCTGTGAATGCTACCATGTTCACAAAGAAGCCCAGGTTAAAATCAGTAGCCCTCACTCTCACCCAGCTAAGCACAAATAAAAGCAGCTCTGAACAGACATTCAGAAAACGGATAAATGAAAGCAAATGACAAGTCAGATTATGACAGTCAGATCTCATTCCCCAGATCAGGGGACAGTGGCTCGGGGCATCTCAAACCAGTCTGAGAGAATAATCATATCTGCTCTCAGCGAGGGCAGAGGGCTGACCTTGTGCAACCATTTTCTGTACCCGGTTACTGCGATCTTTATGAAAGAGGATCTTCCTAAATTATTCTTGTTCTCACCGGGCACCACAAAAACGCAGTGCCCAGAACAGCTGTTTGCCACCCCATACTCACAGTCGCCCTGCTCAGCAGCCCACGCCGACCACGCTGCCACGCGGCTCCTCACGTCCACCTGGGTGATGGTCCCCGGCGGCACCGGGGCCGGTGCCCGTGGCGGAGGAGGGATGGCACTGTCAGCTTTGGAGATCATTCTAGAGGGAGAGGAGAGAGCCCGCGAGTGACACTTGAAGGAAAAACGTTCTATTTCTCTAGTGCTTTAATCAGAGAAGACCTTCGCAAGGACCTCTTCTTGCCGACGCCTAAAAATCTGTCTTAACGCAGTCTGGCACTTTTTTGGATGTATTTTAGTTGTTAAGAAAGACAATCTGACTGCTCTGTAAGTTTGAGGCTTTATTCTTCATCCTCGTCGTCCCCGGATAAATGGCGGGAAAAGGCCTCCAATGTTTACATGAACATACTTTTATCACACTTAGCGCATTGATTTCTAAGGTACAGAAAAGAAGGCACACAGGGATCTACTTTTTATACTGTTACACACATCTTTTAAGTTTACACACTTCTTTCAAACCTTTTAACAACACACTGTTATTGCTAAATATATACTGGTATATATTCTATAAGTGGTGTTAGCCTAAAACAGTTTTCTCTATCTTATTTTTATCTTTAAGTGCAGGTACCCAAGACAGGTATTCCTTCACAGGAATTAGCAGCTTCTTTTCTCTCCTTCCCGGGCTGCCCAAGGTCTTTTAGTGGATTCCTGCATTATCTCAGAGGCCCTGCCTCAGGGCCTCTACCTGGAACACTTGTTTGGTTCCCTGCATCTTCTACTGCAGACCTGACAAGTAAGCCCTACTCAAGACCACAGTGTGTAAATACACTAAACACAGAAGGAAACCCACTCCATGATGGGGTTAGCAAACTTTTGCCACCTGAGAAACCCCCAGCAGTGACAAAGGACACGATTAGACCTGCCAGATTACATGGCTAAACTCAGTGGCTTGGGTTAAGGAGGCGCCATTTTTACCCCAATATGCAGTCCTACTGCCTGGACTTGCCTTTTGTGGGAAGGAAAATTAGAAGATTAGAAGTTGCCTTTCAGCCATCACAAGTATTTAGTCCCTAAATGTGACCAGTCGTCAACCACCTTTTTTCTTAAAACTCTACCAACAAACACCACTCTACTGGATGATTTTCTTTTTTGCAACAGCAACCTATTCATCCTGCCTTGATACAAATGTATCAATGTTTCCCCTTTCCATGCAATTTTCCACTTTTCCAGTTCTTACTGTCATTTTAAATACCACAAAGAGGAATCTTTGAAGTCATTCTGCAGCTTGATACCGAGAGACAACAAAATCCCAACAGCTCCTGTCATACAGACCCCCATCTCCCTTTTCCACACCTCTGTTTAAAAGCAAGATCTTCACCTTAAATTCATCTCTTTATAATCCCACCTCATTCACGGCATTCAACAAGGCCACCATAAAATGTCAGATGCTGCTTGGCCTTTCAACAGTGAACAACAACAAAGTATTTCCTTTGCCTTTCCTTCCTCCAGTGTCCTTTCACTTGTTAATAACCTTGCAGCAACTCGACAATGTCATGTCAGGCAGGAGGGTCCCTCTCTGTGACCCAGTGCCAGCAGGCACAGGACATGACAGGGAGTAACCAGCACTAAGCTGCCACACACGCATGACCTCTTGGCCTCGCAGCCCTCGGAGACTGATACCTCGGATTATTTGTCCCAACAGATGTACTGACCCACATTCTTCTCCCAATTGAACCTCATTAGTTTCCCAGCACATCCGGCGTGTTTGAATCCCTCTGGATTGCCTCTTCGTGCTTGTAACTGTTTGCTACGGTCCCACAAAGAGTCAAGTCTGCTTATCTGATTTTAAAAATGCAAATAAAGCTAGACATAGTTCGGGTTTTGCTTTGTTTTGATAGCAGTGTCCCTTGCTCCAGGAAATTTCATAAGTGGCATATCAGAATTTAGCAGATAGCCAAAACTGTTATAAACTCATTCACATAATGGTGGTAATTTTATTTAATGATTTTTGTCCAGCAGAGACTTCTCTATCTGAAAACAAAAGTAATATTGAGAGATACTATCAGAATGCAGCTATATACTAACATTCCAACTACTATCATCACCATTCAATATCTAATATATTTTTGCCCTTGTTTTTATGCCTCTGTTTGCTACCTCTCATTTCTGTGTTAATCTTCTCTGAACCCAAAAGATTCTTTCCCCCACATTTTCCAACTGGCAAAGAAGCTTTTGCTACCAGGGAAACAAGAAGTCTTCAGCATCATTAAACAGGCAGGCAGGAAAATTATTCAATCTTCAATTGCTGCTTCAACATTTTCAGATCCCAAAACCTTTTAGCATAATCTTATTTACTTGGAGTTATGGGGCATTTATGTTTGTAATTTAAATTCTGAACTACTTGATCCATATGCAGAACTGAGACATGCAATGCCATCCTCTGGCAAGTGATCTTGATCTCAGCTGTTCCCATCACTAAGGAGGAATTGGGAAAGGTAAGAGTGACACTATAAATTGAGAGAACATGAGAAAATTATTAAAACAAGACCTCTACATAGGGCTTTGGAATTATATTATTAAGTCTAAAAAAAAAACCAAAACAAAACAAAAAAACCCCAAAATACAGCAGGCAAACCTGGAGAGCTTCTGAATGCTGTCACACTATTTGATTCTATACGCTGTCAAGAAGTTAGGTTTTTACCTCAGTGTTTCAAGTCTCTTCTTTTGCTTCCCACTTTTGCTGTCACTGATTGCACTTTCAATATCTTCATGAATAAAGCTAGCCTAAAGAGACAGAAGCAGAAACCATCAGGTATTGTCTAGAGTATCCAGATATAGGAAATAAATATTTCCTCGTGCACTTTCTGTATAGGACCTTTAGATTAGAAAATACCCTATCAAATCACATTTATCTAAAAGTTCTGGGACAAATTATTTTACACATAAAAAGAACAAACAACAGAATAAAGCCTGGGAGTTGGTATTTTTGTCACTACTCCAATCTCAAGCATGATCATTAGACATAATCTAGATACTAAATTTGTCTGAACAGCTGTAATTATCTAATGTCACCCATTATTGCATAAGCTGCTGTTTCCCTCTGCATATATAATTTTTGGTTGTCTCGAGTATTTTGTTTATACTATAAAAAACCAAAATCTACTATATATAGAAGCAACAAAACTACTTATAGATAGTAGCAGCATAATTAGAAAAGTAACTCATTATACCATTCCCTTTCAGAAATAATGATAGGTTCCAATTCCTCTTTGATGTAACAGAAGATTAATTTTTCAGAACATTCCCTAATCTGTGGGTTCCTGCCCCTCCATAACTGCAGAATGCCTCCACCAGCGGCCCACAAGTGAAATTTTGATGCATGTCTGAAGCATTATTTTAACAGATCTTGCATTAAATAGGTCATGGTTTCTCGTAGGATTTAGAATGCTCTGTTACATGTCTTCAGCTGACAAATTAATTTCCTACAAAGGCTGTCAAAGCCCAAATCTGTCAGTGTCTCTACAAGGAGTGTGTCTTTCCTAGTACCCTGATAATGCATAAGACTGTGTAACTTCTTGGAAGGAATATGTAATTGGAACTTCTGCTAGGACCAGAAGACTTTGTTGAATTTTGGATTAAAGGACTTCTCAGGCTATAATGAATTGCACTGCAGAATATTTATGAAGGATGCCTTAAGATTACAGAATTAATAGAAAAAAACTTTAGGGGATCAGAGGAACTTAAACCCAGAAGGATTCCATTAATCCTTCGATTAATCCTTCGATATTTATTATTTAAAATTTTTCTTGCTTAGAAAATATTGAATGCCCCAAATAGTATTGATTTTAACTAATTTTTGTTGCAGCAGCTCCTGCAGTTCATGGTAACTTCTAATTGAAAGCAGGAAAAAGCCAATGGAGAAAGACCTAAACCTTCAAAACCAGACGAGTTTCATGGGTAAGGAAAAAAAACATGGGGTATGGTCAGAGACTCAAGCAATACCTCAGAAGAAAAGGGAGATCCTGGACTTCCAAGTCATGCTTATATACTCTACATTTTTATTTGTGCATAGATTTCTATACAGAGGAACAACTTAAAAAATGAAAGTCTGAAGAAAAGAGACCTCCTCTACATTCTGGGAAGTTGAGTCCAAACAGACCCTAAAAGGGATCCCTGCATTATTTAACAGAATGCCACCTGAACTTCTGACAGAATCCCACTTTCCATTGAAACAGCAAATTCTATGCAGTAAATCACATAATTAGCCAGTCATCTTCACACCACCCTCATTATACCAATTTCAAAACGGTTGCACAGGGTGATTTGGCAATCTGTTGTTTCAAGACAATGACACAAACTACTACAAAGGAATTAAAAAAATCCCCATGAAATCACCCATTTGAATTTAAAGAAATGCCTATTACAGAGTATAACTAACAGAAGTTAAAATTTATAACCCTGGAAATAAAGAGGTATTGCAGAATATGCTAAAAAAATAATTTACACTTGAAGATAATATTTTAATCAGAGACAATCAAATCTCTTTCCTTGTTTTGCCCTTCCTGCAAGTACTATTTTCCCTTTCATGACTTCTCCAGCAGAGCAGAGATGAAGAGAGGTGAGAATACAGAAAATATTTAATATTTCAGCAACAAAAAGAGGAAAAAAAAAAGGGGGGAAAACTAGGTGAGATTCAGGGCTCACATGAGTTCATTGCACATTATAAGATAAATTTGAGATAACTCAGACTATTTTAAACTGTTCTTTTCAGAAGTGTGAATGCAAACCATAGACGTTTTTCAGAGCTTTACACATTCGGAAACCTAAATTAACAGCTATGGAGCCCAAGAACCAGTATTTATAGTAAGGGTGTATTTGAACATGCACTAAGGATTCAGCTTACAAACTAGACCACTCTCTTGCAACATGTACTACACTACATTTTCTAATATACTATAAGTAGTGTTGATATTATAAGTGCATTAAACTTATGGCATATTTATAAGAATAAAAGTGCAGAACTGTTTTCTATGAATCAGCTCATTTGACTTTATTCACTGGACTTGTCAATTCATAAAATCTCCCCTATTCAAATAAGTCATAGCAGATCTCCATTATTGTCTTACCTTAATTTCATCACATTGGAAAAGATGCAAATCAGGCTTGTTTTGGGTTGGTTCTTTACATACCAATGCAAGAATTGAATTGTAATTGCATGCATTCATCACAGCTTGGCAATGCTGAATTGTGCTTAAAGGAAAATTCTCCAGTTCATTCTGCCAGAAAAGAAAAGAAAAAAAGGAAACACAAAACACCACCTTACTATACAGTGTCCTGATCTCAGAAAAGCTGCATGAGTGAAAAAGGGGAAGTGATAATAAGCTAATTAAAGCCCTCAATCCCACATACATCATTTTTCTGCTGCTCCCTTTTCCTTTCTCTCTGAAAATGAGACTGTCACTCACAGATCTTACCTTTGATTCCAAGTCCACCAAACTGACAGCTTTGTCATCCACTTGAAGAATCATATCTTGAGTCCACACTTTGCCTTTGGCATCCAACAATTTCAGCTTTCTTATTCCATCGTCTACTGTAATCATTGCCTCTTTTCGGTCCAGAACAAACGTGGTCAAGTGCTGGTGAATGAAACACACATTTAAAAGAAATTATGATTGCAATTTTCCCTATTGTTCAGGAGTGTCAGTGTTCAAACTGCCAGGAAACAGCAATGCAAATTATTCATGAATAAAAGTGCCTTTGTGTATGACAGATTCCACCTATAAGACATCAGAAAGGTTGTTTAGCCCATAATGCCATTTTAAGTCACCTGATTTTTGTTAGCTCGCTGTTTGCCATCCTCTGTCATTTCCTCACTGTGCTAAGCTGTTAGACTTGAAGGCATATTCTGACATCTTTCAGGTATCAAAGCTGGAATTAAACCATGAGTTTTAATTAGCTTTCTTGAGGAGTGAAAACCTGTCCCTCTTGGCAAGCTGAATTCAGGAGGTGCCAGCAGAAGCTTCCCAGAAACACGCTGCCGATGCACCTCCACCACCACCTTGACCTGGAGTGTCCTCACCTCTTCCAGGGCTGCCAGTTAGTGTGCTGCTGGCAACCAGGATGGGCTTGCATCTAACTAGGGTACCTTATGGACAGTCATGTTATTGTGGAACATAGAAATGTAGTATAGTAACTAGTGTTGTTCTCGGAATATTCTCCAGATTCAATTAATGATCTAGAAACTAAACACTGCTCCCCAAACATCACCTCAGCTGGCTTCCCTGTCGTTATGGTGGTGGTAATTTCTCCTTCAACATGCCAACCATGCAAGAAAACCCACAAAATTATTTCATTTTATTCAAGCATAAATCCAGCTTCACATTCTTATTGAAGATCTGATAACACTCATTCAAGCTGAACCAAGAGTAATATATGCTTGTACATCTGTGTTCTAAATAACTTTCAAAAATAAATAAATAAATAAAATTAACTGTGCTTTCTTCTGTTACAGGATAATGGCACTCAGTAATTACAGAGAGGAAGGTAGGTGTAAACTGCATATAATCAAAATATTTAAAAGAAATGAAGTGAAATGAACTCTCTACTGGCTGCTCACACAGGAATGCTTAGACTCCAAACACAAGTACTAATTGCTATGCCAGTACAGGACCAAAACTCCTATAAAGAAACCAAAGAAAAATAGGCAATAAGAAGCAACACACATATTCATTTGCAAGCTGATCATAGGATTGAAGCACTTGAAATTAAGACTCTTCTGCATATGATCTCACAATTTACAGTTGATTTAAAACCCAGCAAAAAGGAGCTGAGAATACATGGTATTTGCAAGACTTGGTTTTACCCATGACAACTGGTCTGATGGCAGGAGGAGAAAGTTTGAGTCAAAGTAAGACTACAAAATGAGGTGCTGCATTCAAAAGTGCTTAACAGGCACTCAGGCTTACTTTGCAGACTATTTTAAATATACTTATTCCTGGATAAAATATGACAGCAGCACGCAGTAATTCTGCAAAGCAACTTAAGACAGTGAGTACACACTCTGCACTTCATACTGGGGAAGAATATTCTGCAGGCAGAATATTTAACTACTGTATATTAGACTAACTCAGGCTTTTAGGGGTTAACGCTCAGCTCTTGAGGAATATTCTAATACCTCTGCTGATTATATCTGATCAAAGTATTAGTTTTAAATATCATCCAGTGTGCCTCGCCAACAGCACGGTGTTATTCAGCTCCGCCTCATCTTTGTAACGAGCCAGGTTCAGAGACAGGGCAGCACAACACGTTGAATTGATACCCCATTGAGAAGTCCTGTCCCTTTGCCAAACCACACACAACTTTGCTTACATTCTTCTGTATCTAAAATTTCAGCTCATTATGGCAAAGCTGTAGAATTTGAGACATTTCACTGTAATCTATTCTGAAGTGACCTCGGGCTGGCAGGATATTTTGGAAGATGCATGTGCCTTCAAGCACACGTATCCTCAGAAATCATGAGGGCAAAAAAAAAGAAAAGCTGCACGTAACTGAAGGCTGTAATTGGTGTATCACTGCTCATCTCACCTCTACGTGATACTGTGACGTTTCGGATATGCTGCTGGCACTGTCTCGTGCATAATTCTTCCTTTGTTCTAGAGGTGGGAGGAAAAGAAAGAATAATTATTCGTTTAATTTCTTACCCTGATGCTTTGACCGTTTCTCAAGAGATACTTTAGACAAGTTGTGTACATGAGAACAGGAGATAAGCTGCGGTTAATTTCTGTGTTTCAACAGAAAATACCTCCACCCCCACACGGTCCAGCACAAGGACCATTCTCACATCAACAATGGTAACAGAAGGCTGGTGGGTGCAAACAAAAGCCAGTTATCTCATCCCAGTGAGTCAGGACACTGGAGGGGAGCAGTGTTCTGACTGAAAACACTTTGTTGGGAAGCCTGATTATGGATATAGTTGGGTTGCCATTTTAGTGGCAATATAGTAACTAGCATCAGGCTTACTATATTTGCATTGAGTGTCCTCGAAAGCAAAAGTGTTTTCTGATATATACATATACTTATGTTAAATCTGCAAAACAGCAAAGCCACACACAAAACAGACCTGACTCATCCTTTATTTCTTCATAAAGTATTCAATTCGATGAATTAATAATGTAGAAATATGCATGGAAATATACATATACACACCAAAATATCTCTAAACAGAAACACTTTTCAGCAAGACACAATGCTGCAAAATCAGAAATATCATTTGTCTTTTACTCAATAAAATAGATTAATATTAAACCAGGAGAGGAGGGAAGGGGAAAAGCAAGATGAAGGCACAACATGGACCCATACCACAAAATAATGAATTTAGATGAATGTTGAAGAAAACTTTTCAACTTAAGTGGAAAAAAAATTAATGCAACATATGGAAGGTTTGGGTTTTTTATCACTATAACCACTTAAGCACCTGATCTGGAACATCAGGAGCTTTTTTTTGGGAAAGTCACTGGGTGACATGACCAAGAGAGGTCTATGGAAACTCTGCAAATAGCCAATTTCTTTGATTTCTGATTTTCAATTAAAATAGGCAGTTGGATTTTGTTCGGAAGCAAAGTACCTGATCTACATACAAAATACATCAATGTAATCATACCTGAAATACTTGGAGGTAAAATAAAAGTGCGTGATTTTGTTGGCAGGAAGCTTAAATTACTTTTTGCAATTTAAAAAAATGGTAAATGTTACCAAGTGCATGGTTTGTGACATACAGTCCCCATCTGCAGTGAGGACACTACAAAAGCCACACTGCAAAACTCTCTTCTGTGACCAGGGTTCCTTCATACAGGAATTCCAGGTGCTGACAAAGACAGCAGTGCCCTCGTTTTCAGACATCACTTGTAGAAGCATTTGTCACCTTTTATAAACATACCACTATCTCTCCCCTTCTCAAGGAAAACAAACTTTCATGAAAAACAACACATTTTCTGAAATACGTCACTGACTTGAAGAAGAGCCTCTCCCCATGGTGGAAAACACCACTCCACTCATGCAACAGAGCCATCCTGCTCCTGCACAGCAGCTACTCAGCTTCTTTTAGCAAGACAAATGCACACTGCAAACACTCCAATTTAAGAACACAGATTATCAGAATTTTCAGCTAGGTGTGTGCAAATTTCAAATCAGATATCTCACTTTCATTATCCATTGTTCTGAAATCCCTCTGAAAGGCAGAGGATTATCATTGGTTCCAACTGTAACAACCATTTCTGCTTTTGCAGCATGTTACTTAAATTATTTTTTTTAGTTGATTGTCTTTTTAACCACAACAGACACACACACACACACACATACACATGCACACCAGTCAGTAAAGCAGTACTGTCTCATTTGCTACCTTTCTTTTTTTGTTTGGATGATGATCTGAAGAAGTAAAGTCCATCTGTTCCTAACAAAACAAGGGGATTAAAAAGCAGTATCTAGTTTAAATAGAATTATTTGCATCTCTAAGGGGATCAGTTAACAGTCTTCTGCTATGGACTGTAAATGCTAATTAAATGCTGTCCAGTAAGAATATATGCTTTAAAAAAAAAAAAAAAAAGACCCTTGTTTCAATTAACAATGTATCAAATATTCAGTTTTGACTGCTATTATCTTCTTTCAGGTGAACAAAAATATAACTTTTATTCTATTTAACAACAGTAAGAAAGTTTACATCCACTGTAAGATTTATAAATGCTGCAAACAATAATAGTTGGAGTTATCTCAAATAATAAAAAGAAAGTCTGGCATATGTAGAGGCTCCAAAGGAATAAAAAGCAGACAGTTAAGTGTTGCAAGAGATTCCTTATTCTGCTCCACATAAATTTTGTCCTGCGATAAGACAGGAATTCCAAAACCATTTGTGATACTGATTAACACATCTTCTTCCACAGAGCACCACAACATTCACAATTACACATGACAGAAAGGTTTTCATGCCATGTTGAGAACAAGAGTGTTTATAGAGGAGAGAGAGCTTTCTGAATGTTAATAAAATCTGTGGTTGCCTACACTTGAGAGCCAAGGACAGCCCCTCTAGTTCTGCGTTATTAGTTATAACATAATGGTCACAAGAGCTTCAATAAAATTTCCAATTAACAAAAGTCAATCACTCTTTGTGTCAATAAACAAAACAACTGACAGTCCATACTGAGATCAACTCCAATTTACCAATTTATTTCTTTCATGAGGGTAGAATGAGTATGAGAACCTGCTAGAGAACTGAGTTATCATTTAGAGTAGAACAGAATATTTCATTTGAATCATCCAGTCCAACAGCCTCACCACTTCAGGGCTGGCCAGAAGCTACAGCATGTTACTAAGGGCACTGTCCAAATGCCTATTAAACACTGACAAGCTTGGGGCATCAACCACCATTTCTTGTTATCCTGTAGGCCCTTCTCCCAAAAAACCACCGCTGGGCACTGGAACAGGCTCCCCAGGGAAGGTCACAGCACCACGCCTGGCAGAGTTCAAGAAGTGTTTGGATCACACTGTCAGGCACATGGTGTGAGTGTGACTCTTGGAGTATCCTGTGCAGGGCCAGGAGTTGGACTCAATGATCCTTGTGGGTTCCTTCCAACTCAGGATACACTATGATTCTTGGATGAGGTCAAAAAGAAAAGGAAATAAGAAAAGACTGGCTAGAACATGTCCCCTCTCCCATGGTTTTTTGCTGGTAGCTCAAAATTAAATCTCGAACTCCGCTTTCTCCTAGTGCCTGGCTCCTGTCCCAGATTCTACCTAAACCCTCCATAAGCTCTCATCTTGCCATCAGAAAGGGCACAAACCCTTTTGCAACCCCTCCTGCTGATGTGCTCCACTGCCCTGGACTTCCAGGGAAATTGTTATAAGCCTGCAAACTTGTTCTCTGTCCTCCTTTATCTCAATGACATAAGGGACTGCCTGCTCCTTCCTTCAACACTTCTGTTTCCACTTCCAAGTCAGATATATCTGAGCACATGACCCTCACAGTCTTTTTCATCCATATATAGCTTCTTTTTCTCTTCCTACAGAGTTGCCCGTTGCCATTCTTCTGAAAATGTATCTTCCACCTCCCAACTCTTTCATATATCAAAGTGACAGATTATCTATCAATAATAATCTCACTGCTTTTACAGAAACTCTGAAACATCTCCTGATTTATCACACTATCTTCAAATGCAAGTAACACGTACTTTAATATTGAAAAAAAGCAACAGAAGTTGCAGATGCACTGAAGGTAGTGGGTCTTGCTAGGATGGAGTTAATTTTGGATCTGTGACCAAAACAGTCTTGATAACATAAGGATGTTATCTGCACAGTTAGCTGCTGCTGTGCCAAGGCCTTCTCTATTTCTCACCCTGCTGCCCCAGCAAGTGGGCTGGGGGTGCACAAGAGGTGGGGAGGGGACACATCTGGGACAGCTGATCCCATCTGACCACACTGTATACTGTCATGATCAGCAATAAAACTGGTGGGTAGTCTTTCCAAAAACTTCTTGCCCAGGCAGTCTGGGCATTGGTCTGTTTACAGGAGCAGACAAGGGGAATGAGCAAGCAAATGGGTAGGTCCTCAGTTGCTGGCTGGGGTCAAGCCCTGACACCAAAAACAAAATAATGTTTTGTATGTTTTGTTTCACTCTCCTGATCCTCCCAATCAACCTCAGCCTCTCACGGGTCCCTTCATGCATGAATAGGCTATTAAAGTTAAAGTGAAATACAGGGAGAGTATTAAAGCTAAAGTGAAATACAACAGAGACTTCCAGATACGATGTATAAAACTATCAAAGGATGAATAAAACTACCAAAACTATTGATTTTTTTTCTATATTCTCTACTTACTGCAGCTCTTACATCCACTACTTAGAATACAGCACAACCTCAATACCACAGTTAGTTCAAACCCTGCTGGTGTGTTGTACACCATTTAACCAAAGGATTTTCCCTCTGGTAAAAGAAAAAAAATAAAAATCAATGAATCATGGCAGAAGATACTTAAATTAAATTCTTAATCACAATCTACAGCAAATGCAGTCCAGGGGAATTTGAGTAAAATAAAGTCTCTTACAACACAATGACAATAAACTTAAAAGCGGCACATAGGTCCACATTTCACTCATAGGTCCTGAATATAAGATCTACCAGCTACTAAAACTTCCAGAGGAACAGAAATGTTGACCTATGGAAACTAGTGTTTTTGCCACTGTCTGATAGGGACAGATGTTACTGCTATTCATGTTCTGTGAAATTACTGAATTCACCAATCAGGAACAGACCATGTTTCTGTTTTCAAAAACATGTTAAAAGGTACTGATTTTAGACCATTTTTGAAAGCATCTAAAACACCAGAAAACAAAACGCAACTTCTTAACCAAAGACTTTTAGCCAAGACAAAAACACCACTACACAGAACATGGCACAGATAAATAGGACTGGAGATTGCCATCACTCATTCCGGTCCTTATCCCCACTACACTGAGAACTCTTGAGCTCTCACAGTTATTTCTGTGAAGGATCATTTCATACTTTGGAAAGGCAACTATTCCACAATTTCAGACAAAAACAACAGTACTGCCCAGGGTCCACTGAGGCAGTGCTATGAACAGACCTTGGCATAGCTAGAGTCCTGTCTCACCCATTTTCCAACTGGAAGGGGGTGCAGCAATATGGCAAATTACAAAATTGCTTAATAAACTCTACCATAGCCTGGCTCTGTGCCACTGTCCAGAAGACCACAGGGAGAAAAATCAAAGTCTTTATCTAGGTAGGGAAAATTCTTACCAGAAGCAAAAGATCTCAGGTTGTGTCTTAACATGACCTGAAGCATGGGTAGTGCTGGCTAGGGATATATTTAAGCACAATAAATTTTCAGTTCCTAAAAGGCAAGTGAGGAATATTGATGCCTAGACTTCTACCAGTGTCTTACAAATATTTGCACAGGTAAGATGTAATAAATGTTATCGATGCTATGGTTATGATAATACAAAGGAGGGTAAAGGTAGATATTCATCCTTTCCTTTACCCTTCTGTACCCTTCCATATCTTCTCCTTCCATAGCCCAACTGGAAATTGTCTGTGCAGTGCACAAAGAGACACAGCTCTGAAATCTGATGGCAATCCACATAGACACTGAATCAGTCTCCCTCACAAGCTGTCCTAAGAATCCAGAAGTAACAGTATAAATTATTACAACACATCATCAAGCAGAAAAGCCCAATACTTAGTTTACCACCATGTATCTGTGTTGGACTGATTGCTGGCAGCCCTTTAAGAATGTACTGCAGCAGCTGGAAAAACTCAGCGTGAGATAGAGCAAAGTGCAGGAGACATGACTTGAACATCCGGGGAGAAAGGTCAAAACTTGAGTTCAAAACAAGTCTCATTTTCAGAGGAGCAAACACTGTCACTTTCAGAGATTTATGACATGATGGTTACGTAGAACTAGCTGTCAAAGAAAGTGTGTTGTTTAGAAGTCAATTGTCAATTTAATTCATTTGACTATTAAACAATACAAGCATGTTACATGGATAACTTCTTTCAAAGGACTCATCTATGATCTGCTTGTGATTCCCTTGAATTTGTTACACTACAGGTCTTGCTCTGAATGAGGTATTTGAACAATGCAAAAGTAACAGGCAATCTCAATTCTAGCACCTAATCACAGCTATGAGAATATAAACACAGTGTATAATAACACACTCGGTCTTCTCTGATGTGGTGTGAAGACAATTTTAGCAGCATCTTTCAATTCTGTGCTGTAAAATAATCTAACAATTTGGAGTGAGCCACTGGCTCTCTCTTCCTGGGGAATGAGGCTGCTCCACACTGTGTCACTCGCTGGCAAACCCCCATCACAGCCCTGAAATGATGCTGCAAAATCTCCCCACAAAGCAGAGCTGCTGAAGACAGATGGAGAAGCCAATGCTAGAACAACAGATGACAGTACAAGCCAAAACCCATTTCAGATGGAAAGATCAGGAAGTAAATGATGAAATAAGCCCCATAAGAATGTGCAGAGGACACCTTCCTTCCCAGCTCAGAGGGAGATTTATTATGCAAATAGAAAACAGTTCATTTCAGGAAGGAAGTAAGTGAAAACAAAGGGATCATTTGACACAGGAAAAAAGGCAATTCCAAGGAAGTTTTTGCTATCAGATAGCCCCATCAGAGACAGTGATGGCTCTGGTCTAGTTTTTAACTGAACTGTCAGAAACACCAGTAAAATCCCAGCCTCATTTCCCATAGTACCGTGGCCAACCTAAACAATCATGAATCACCTCAGCACTGAGAGTTAAGAGACAAACTTCAGGACATAAACATGCCTGTGAGTATATATATACATAAACACATATAATAATAATAATAATAGTAATAATAATAACAACAACAATAATAATAAGTAGTAGTAGTAATAATAAGTAGTAATAATAATAATAATTATTATTATTTTAATTTAGTCTTCACAGTGCTTGCAAGAAACTGACTTCAAGATCTAATGGTCAATTATGAGCCCAGGTACCATCCTCATTTTTTGATACCTATGGATGGGCAGCTTAGTCCAAATGACACTCCAAAGTCTTCCAAGAAAAGAAGTTAGTCATGGACAAAGTTTGCTGCTAACGTCACATTGTCACATTTTATCAAAGCAAAAAAACATACTCCATTTTATTTTGCAGTAAAATTATATTTTCCTGTATAGTACCAGTGAATCTATTAAACATATAAGCTTTATTCACATAAAATACATACATTTAATATATATGTACATAACATAAAATATAAAAAGAAAGCTAAGATGCCTCCAATCTGCTTTATAGGATTTCAGTCTCATGCCTCTAAAATAAAATATTTTAGTTATTAATTATAAATAACGTATTTTATAACAAGCATTTTTAACACATTTTAACAATTCCAGAATCACTCAACTGCTTTCCGCCCTCTGGGACAGCATGCACAAAAAGCCTTAACACCACAAAGGAAGAAGAGGCAAATGTGGGATGCAGCAGAACAGTAAATTAGTTGTTAAAAATTAGATAAAAATGTAGTCGCCCTGAATTTGAGAAAGGTTTTAGGTGTTTTCCTTGTTCTCTCTAGTTCATATATTTGGTGATACTGACAGCCTAATTATTTATGTATATAAAACAGAGCAGAAGCAGTAAAATGTGCAAACTCCACTCTAAAAGCTGTGCTAATATGTATTCACTTGGGGCTCCCATATAATTGAGTCTGCTACTTCAGTCAGTTCCTGGCAACTGCAGCTACACTTTTGTTATACATCTACCAGCAACAGAAGAGAACTAAGATCAACAATTAATTTTACAGGAGCCACCACACAGCAGTTACATGGCAAGCATTTTCAATTACTACCTGAATTCAATTAAGTAATTTGGAAGTAAAAGGCTGATTACCATTATACATCACATTTACTCACTTGTCCCCATCTTCTACTGATATATGGCTACCCCATCACATCTGATATGAAAAAGGTCAGAGAGACATTATTTTAAAAGCCCGCAAAGATTAAAGGACGTGGTTAAGACACTGATACTGCTACATGTACTCTTGAAAAATTATGATGATGACTTCAAATGAAGAAGAAAATCACAACACTCTCATAACATCTCATAAAGAAATAACCTGCTAAGAGTTTTCCGCAAAGTCTCTTGCTTGTTTCTGTTACCACCTACTATTTCTGTCAACACTTGCAATCAGCCTGTTGAGTGAACCCATACAGGATGCAGAAATCACTGCTCAAAATGATCAGTTCAGAATTTTCCTCAGTTGCAGTTCCTGCCTTCAGCACTGTGTGAAGGGACTGACTTTTGTAGCACACCACTAAAAAATAGTAAATTTTAACTCAGAACGATTCACATGCAACATCACGTTTAGATTGGATATTTAGGGAAAAATGTTTTCACCAAAAGGGTTGCCAAGCAGTGGAACAGGTTGCCCAGGGAAATGGTTGGGTCACCATCCCTGGAGGTATTTAGAAGACATGTACATGTGGCACTTAGGGACAGGGTTCAGTGGAGGACGTGGCAGTGCTGGGATAATGGTTGGACTCGATGATCTTCAAGGTCTTTTCCAACCTAAACAATTCTAAGATTTTAAATCATGCTGCCATCCCTCCCTTAACCTCTGAGGTCACTCCCAGCCAAACAGGAGGGAGAAAGGATCAGTTACTATTTGGCACCTTTCAGTTATCAGCCACTGCTCTTTGAGCTTCCCAGTTTAACCAGTAAAAGAGGTGGCAGATGCAAGAGGGCAGAGCAGGCTGAGGTGTCAGGAGTCCTGCACAGGACCAGGTTCTCACTGCAAACCTCCTGCTTCCAGTCTCACCAGTTGCACTGACTTCCAAAAGAGCATTTAACAACAGGCACAGATTTACACAGCAGAACATCTCCCAGCCTCACTGCTGCTTCTGTTTCCATTACCAGCACAGCTATCAGCAGGATGCATTCACAGTGGAGGAGGATGACCTGAAAATGGTGTAATTTGGCTGGCAAGGAACTTGACTACATTCTGCCTCCACAGTGATTTGGCATTGGGCTACAGAGTAGTACAGCCAAGACAAATACCAGCATTTGTAGTTGGTAAGTGCACCAGCGTTTAGGCATTTGTAATGTCACATCTGACAGTCACAAAGCCTCTTGAAAACAACACACCAAACAGGACTCCAAATCTGCTACATCAAAACTAATTTCCATCAAATTCTTGTGTCAAAGAAGAATAATATTGTAAATCCCTTTTCTGCTAGCAGGGGATAAAATCTGGGGAGGCAGGGCATGGCACAGGTCATGAATCAAACCTATAGCACAAGCTAGGCTCCTGAATGCCTTCTCCTTGGTACATACCTTAGTTATGGGATCACTCTTAGTTTTGTGATAAATGCTTTACACATTGTTGCCTTAAAAATGAGCAGGGGGGACTTCTCTGCTTAGTAAACTGTAAAACTAGTTAGCTTAGTTTGTTTTAGTAGGCATAAAATCACTTTCTTATTTAATTTAGTTGACGTAGACACCTATGTGTATGTACATACACCTTCAGATTAATGTGTGTAAAATATTTCCACCATGACATCACAATCAATCAATATTCAAGCAACAATTTAGCACAGAAGTTCAGAGAATTTTGCTGTCTTACCATAAAGAGCTTTCGCACTTGTTCTTGAGTTCTGCTCCCTCTCTGGCTGAGCAAATGTTGGGGAGCCATAGCCACTGAAAGAAAGTATTTCTGATTAAATTCTGTATAGGTGTATTTGGCACACACAAAGAGGCACTGGAAAAAACCCTCTCCTTATGTAGGACTACACATGCCTCCAACATTAGTAACAGAGGTAACAGTATGGAATATTTGCTCTGTATTATGAATACAATGAGGAATGTTTCACTTAGGGGCTGCAAGCTTTTCTGACCTCTTTTTTACTGCATTAATACAACATCATGCACAATTGAGGTGTGGTACACACATAGACACCACCATAATGTAAGTAACCAAAATCACTAAATAATGATAATACCAACATTAACAACAATAATGATGATAATAATAATAATGACCACGCCAAAGACTTGGGTAGGATTTGGGTTTTTTTTCCTGCATACACAAGTGTTGATTGCTTGTAACAATTTTAACTGTTTTTAACGTAAGACTTAAAATAACTATAATTGTCTACAACAAATGAAAAGGCAAGACGACTTCCTTCTAGTGTTAACAACAAGAATGAGTCATATATGAGCTCACCCTAAAGGGACAACAATATGAGAAGCAAAGGATAGCACAGATGTCAGGCTCCATATAGGAATACATGTTCTTTGGCATCAGACAGGTAAATTCTCATTAGCCTAATGCCATGCTCCTGACACAGGGATCACCCTCTTATCTTAGGCAAGATAACACTTGCAGGTAACAGTTGCTGGGTTCTGTTTACTGGGAAACAGCATTTGCTCACAGATGGAAAAGGCAGCCTCATCTTTTATGCATAAAAATGCATTCACTCAGAGCTAACCCTTAAACATCTCAGGCACACAAAGACCTAAGTGACACAGTAAGCACGTTACGGCTACAATTTGTTTTTCTGTTCCAGATGAGTCTATTCAGTAATACAGCTTTATCCTTACACTAATACAAAAATCAGTCAGATGATATCTGTCCGTTTGGTTCCAGGGTTTGGAAGCTGCACACTCTTTTACAGAAACTGTGTATAATTCCAGCGTGATCTAATAACTATAGCTCTGTCTGAAACTAAAGCTCAAAGAAGAAAATACAACTCCTTTTTTTTTTTTTTT